CTAATTCCCTTTCATTCCAATTCTTCCAAATACTAATTCCCTTTCATTCCAATTCTTCCAAATACTAATTCCCTTTCATCATCAGGTCATCCCACTATTAGGGGGATGTGATCTCCAAAACCTCCAATCTCAGACCTTGTTGACCTTGGTGACCTTCTAGGGGGGGGGGGGTCCGTTGATTAATCCGACGTCGCCATTAGGTGCCAGGAGGGTCCAGTCGTATCTTTTGAGAAGATACGAAAACTGATCCCTAGGGTTGGTGAACCCTTTCCCTCACCGCACAGTGTCCCGGAACCGGGTGGGCCTCTCACGGGCTGTGCCTGTTCCCTGGTTTCAGATCATGGTTCAGTTGCAAGCCTTTCCATCTCTGACATAGTGATGTTCTTGTGGATCCAATCCCGCACAGTTTCCCTCACCGCATCAATTCCCTGGGGACATGAGCAGTCGGTGACTCCACCAGCTAAGAAACTCGTGCTCGACCATGGCTGATCGACAAAGCCTCTAAGCACAGCACAGCACATCTCTTTCAAAGGGGAACCCTTACACTCTCTGAAATCATCATGGTTATGTGTGGCATCGCACCCCTCGGATGACCCGTTTCCAAGTAAAAACACCGGTGCTATGTCTCGATTCCACTTCCGATCATGAACTCTGAGCAGCTTTTTCTGGGCTGCCGAACGTGGTCTCCGCCTGCGCCGCACGGTACCCGGCGGCTGAAGGAGGAGCTTCGTACGGCTAAGCCGTAAGGGCACGGTGCCCTCCACCTGAGCTATAGTTGCTATAGTAACTGGTCACCGTCCGGCGCATGTCGGACTCATAGCCCATCTCGCCAGTGGGACTGGCAGTGCTTCTCTACATCCGGCCAGAAACCCCAAACTGCTGCTTATCCTTCAAACTCTTCGACCAAACCACGGCCACTGCGTCCCGGGCTACTGGCTGGTGGACAAAAAGGACCCAATCCCTGCAATTGGATCACACCTTACATACTCACCTGTGTCGCTTCAGCAAAGCCCGTCCGAGACTCGAAGCTGGAAGCTGGACATGCCAAAAGAAGAAGGGCAGCAAGCAACTATATAAAATAGTCAAAGAACAAATCCGAGTAGGTTGAGGCTCAAGGGATTCAGATTTAGGAGGGTGAACCCCTGAGGATGTCACGAACCTTCTCTGAAGTACTGGTTCATACTGGTTCCTTTTTTAAGCCGAAAAGCTTCAGGAGCGTCCTCCGCAACCGCGGCAAACAGGACGAAACAGGAGTTCTGAACCTTTCTGTGACCTTCAGCGCGCCCAAAACATGAACGAACACATCAGGACCGCGAATCCCTAGTGCTCCGACCACCGAGGTTCGGTGGTTTGGGGGGGGTTCAACCACCTTCTGAGGATATGGGCCAGGAGCTCTAGGGAATAAATGGACCAAAATCCATGATCTCTGACCAAATGTCCAACACCGTCCAATATTGGTTGTTCAATTCGACCACTTGCCCAACCAAAGCAGCCGGCGTGTTGCGACGTATAGGTTCCGCGCACCTTCTCCGGAGGCTGCGCGGCACCTCGCTGCAAGGCCACCGCGCGACAAAAAGAGCCGCTGGGGTCGATGGTTTGGAACAACCCCTAAATTGAAAAGAAAACAGTGGTTCATGTGCCTTCAGAGCTTCAGATTACATGTTGTTTACATCCCTAGGGATCCAAGTATACCTTCTCAGAATGTACTTGCACCCTCCAAACCTACACAACAGTGTCTCCAATCACCTTCTGAGAAGGTACTTGGGTCCCTAGGGCATGTTTTCCTGAAGCATCCTTTGTAACACTTATTTCTGGCGAACCATGGTTTGGAGCACTTATTGGAAGTTTGAGCGTTAATTGAGGGTGTGTACACTTTTCAGGACATATGAGCGCTTTTTGTCCTGACCAGTGTCCTTATCAACCCTTGTGGGCCTTTGGGGGCCCTATGGGCAGGGTGGAAATCCTATATGACCTCTCCTAGTATGTGCAAATGAAACCATGGGTTTGGTTCTAACCTTCTGGGCGTGCTTTACAACAATTTTACCAAAAAAGGGTGCATGCAACCCGGGCGCATATTCCCGCTACCCGGGCGCAATTAAAAAGTGGCGGATGGTGCGTTTTGTTTAATCTTTTATGTTGAAAGAAAGGGGTTGCTGGCTGCCGCTTCGTAGTGTGTGAGCATGTGTTGTGTGTGTGTGCTTGGGATGGGTGCCAGCATGTGGCAGGGGAATGGACTTGAAGACCATTCCCAGGTGCAATGAAGCTAGATCTGACTTCCCAAGGGTGCGCTTTTTCAAGGCATGAACGCTTTTTTTTTTGATGATGAGCAGTTCTTTTTTCTGCCACGTTTTCTGCTACGACGGAGGGTTCACGTTTTCATGTTAAAACATCAAGTCTAGATTCTAGATTAATCACACACCCTATAAGACGAGGATTTACAATCCAAATGCCAGGGGTTTTATTGATCAAGAACCTCGGAAAGCAGGGACAAACACCCTGGCACCCTATCCCAACCACAGAAATGTATGCAACACCTCCAAGATTACCTGTGTCCAAAGACTACAGCAGGTGCAAGAAACACAAAACGTGAGTATATCCCATTCCCTGTAACCGTGGCTGATGATGGTTAGGTTGCAGGCCGACATCTCAAACATAGTGATATTTTCCTCTATCGACGGTTATAGATTTACTGGGACACATGGGGCACATAGGCATGGCTATGGTTGCCATGTGGGAACCAGTAAGCCAACATAGTGGTCCCCAAATAGAAATAGACACGGTGAAAAATACAGAAACATACCAGGACCCTCCAAGGGGTGTCTATTTATAGCCCCTTAGCTGTTAAGGGGTGTCCATTAACCACCCCTTGAAGGCCCTGGTTTTTGCGAAGCGGTTTCTACTTTTATTTGGGATCTATGTACGAGCTGTCGAACTCCGGGAACTCCTATGGTTGGGGGTGACCAGGCCAGACGATCGCCTTGGCCGGAGCTTTCCCCGCCGGAGACAGCTGCCTTGGAACGAGCACAGAGGCGGCGGGATGCGGGATGCGGGAGCTGAGCCCCTAGTAGCTCCTGGCATTGCTACCAGTAACAAGGGCATCGCTACCAGTAGCAAAGACCCTACTAGTAGCTCCTGGCCCACAGATCTTCACAAGAATCCAGGGAAGATGTTTGAGGGGTCAATGAATGTACGTCACTTTTCCTCCCATATGGATTGATGGTTTGTGTCGTGTCCTTCTCTCTTGTTGGAACTGTTTCTTGAATATCTCTTCTTCACCTGAAGATGATTGTGCGCTACTTGTCACTCTACCAGGAGAGTCGTTCTAAAGGAAGGCTGACGGTGTCTGATGGGCACTCCACCACCCTTAAAAACACACACATGCAACAAGACAAAATCAACCGCATCCTACAATCTACCCGGGTTGTTTGGGGCACTAGGAGTGGGTGAACTCTTGTCCAACGCCAATTTGACGGAAGGGTTCTAGGTGTAGGACTTCAATGCTGACCATGATGTGGCAAAATGAAAACAAGCCAGAAATTTCTGTGTGTGTGATTTGTTTTAATGATCTTATGACTTGCTGCAGTACTTAGATATTCTTGCTGCAGTACTTGACCTTCAGTACTCGGGCGCCTTCAGTACTGTGGCGTGAACACGCCATCTTTTGGGCCACAGGTAAGGCTCTCGGGTGAAACGTCCGAGAATCGGTCGAGGAGACCGGACCCAGTCAGTCCAAGGACTCTAACACAACCACACGACCGTGACGACCGTCGTCACGGTCGTCAGCCAAGTATTGGTGGTTTGGGGTGGTGAATGTATAGGTCTTTCAAAGGGTCACTGCCATATGTTGTTCATAGGGTATCGCTTCACTGAAAGTGGTCTAACATGAGAACCAGCAAGAACCCTACATAAACCTACACAAACCCTACAGGGAACACTAAAATTCCCAAGAAAAATCAACACTTTGGACACAACCTTTCACTAAAGCTCAGCCCTGGATAGTAAATGTCAATGCCTTCCAATGATATGGCTTTCCCGCTTTTGGGCACAACCTTGACTAAAGCTCAACCCTTCCACTGGCTTTCCCACTTTTGGGCGCCACTAGCCTGTGGATAGTAAATGGCATTGCCTTCCCATATCATTCCCACTTTTGCCTTTGCTTTTTCCACTCGTTTCCACCATTTGCATGGTTCTTAATCCATCCTTTCCACTCTAACTGATGACACAATTGTCCCACCTTTGGGCACCACTCTGATGGTTTTCCCATCAGAACCTGAAGGAGCCTGACCTTTTCCCACAAAAACCTGAACTTTCCCCACAAAAACCTGACCGTTTCCCACTAAAACCTGAACTTTTCCCACTTTTGGGATAGCCTCCAAACGAAAACAATAAGAACAAATAACACTAAAAGTTGGAAATATTGTTACATTCGGTTTGTTATTTTTAAACATTTGATCGCTTGATCTTATATACAGTTTTGCAAATGTTTTGAACACTTTCCCGCTTTGGGGGCACCCCTCAACCACTCCCAAGGGGCAGGCAATGTGAGTGCCTTGTGTCCAAGACAAGTCAAACCTGACAAAATACCATGGGAAATCCCAACTCTTTCCCGCGCATTTCCCAAATGGGAATTTAGTAGGATTTAGTATGATTTAGTCAGGTTTTTACAGGTTTTCAGCACAGTGAAGAAGTGCTCTATGAACAACCTCGAAGTGGGATTCTAAGAGTCTTTACTTAAGATTGATCGTGTGTGGGTGACTATACCTAAGTAGTAACGTACCTGGAGGATCAGGTTGTGGTGGTCATTTCTCCACGTAGTATGTAATAGCATGAACTGCACACGAGTGCACGAGCATCCAGCCTAAAACCACCCGTTTCGATATGTTTCGATGGAATTCATGAGCGTGTTACAGTACTCAGTAGTATAATACTGCGATGTGTTTATATTTTGTTTTGTTTTGGTGGATTCAAATTCCCAAGATCAACGCAGTCTCCTTCGGCCGCACGTCTGCCTGACCGTCGCTCCAAGAAGGTTGCTCACTCCGATCGATCCTCGTTGTGTCTCCTTCAGACTGCAGGGATTCCAGCCGTGGTTCCGCCTCCTCTGCGCGTGGAGAATCACGAGGGCTCAGGCCGTCAATGATGGGGGAGTCGCCCTCCAACCACTGCTGCAGTTGGTTGGGATTGGAAAGCAAATTGGGATTGGCAAAGTTCTTCTCCTCTTCCAGTTCCGGTTCCCAGTGGTCGTCGGGTCCTGCATGTTCATAATTTAAGATGGTGTGGAGGCTAAAGCGGAAGTCCTCTTTCCACTGGTCCATGGTGAAGAACAAGTTCTTGGAGCGAAAGGGATTCCAAAGGTCCACTGAAAGATCCAACATGCCCAGCAGAACCAGTTCCATGATGATGAAGAGGCCTGGGGCCATGGAGGACTCACTCAAAGCCATGCCATACGCCAAGAAGAAGAGCGTGAGAAACACCATGACCTTCAAAAGATGCTGGTAGGAGAAGGGCACTTCCAACTTTGCCAAGTCCAAGAGCTCTTGTTGACATTCCTTGAAGTTCATGATGGCAACCAGCAGCTTCTGAAACTCCTCCTCCTCCAACTGAGATTTACACAACTCCGCGGTCCTGCGGGACATCAGCAACACGCGTTCCATCGAGTTGAGTTGCTTCAAAAGCTCCACCTCGCTCCTCCTCACCATCCAAGTCTCGTGCTTCTGCCAAAGTTCCTCCGGTAGCTCCCCGTGTTCCTCCGCGAGCTCTTCCAAGCACAGCAGGGTACTGCTCGCCAGCCAGCGACAGCCCAGCCGCTCCGCCGACCGATTGTTGGCAAAGGCCAGGCGCGCGAGGCTGGCGAAGTCGTAGACTTTGGTGAAGAGGCGAAAGAGGGAGAGGTAGATCTCTTGATATCGCTGAAAGCCTCAACCAGGGGCCCCACAAACCATCAAACACCTGCAAAAAACAGTTTTTTATTGTGAAAACCTTTCTTTTTCATGGTTTTGAGGGCCCCTGGAATAGGGTGAAGGGTGAGGGGTCGCTTCGATCGGTGCACTGGTGGATCGGAGGAGCTTCTTGAGGTGGATGAATGGATTCGGGGAGCTGGGATATTGGATGGGTGGCCATTCTCAGGAATCGCCGGGAGCCGGTGTCATGTGTTTTTTGGGCTATCAAGGGTGTCGGGTGTGTGAAAGCCTTAAATTGGGGGACCTTTTTTTTGTTGATGCCTCCGCCCCCTTCCCAGGAGCGAAGAGGAATCGATGGGGAAAACGTCCAGGATTGGATTAAGGGCCTTGGCTTTCAAAGAAACATGCTCAGGATGCAGGATTGCATGCCTGAATCCCTCAAGGTTGAAGAACAGCATCGTCAGCAAAAAAGAAGCAACACCAAACCACAAGCACTCTCTCGCATACTTAGTTCTAGAGGACTGCTTAATCAATGTTCATGAGCAAGCAACACGGTGTTGCGCATTAGTCCAAGGGCCCAGCTGCTACATTCGGATTCGAGACAAGGGCAGCCCACAAGTTCAATAATTGCAAGGACTAAACATATCAAAGTATGAAATAGCCCAGGACCTTCAAACATAATACCTCTTGGAGTCTCTAATTAAGTGACTTCTAGAGGGACTAAGTGGCTTCATCCACAGGAACACAAATCAACATCAAACTGACAAAATGTGAGAAAGCGCGCTTGGAAGCTTTGGTTCACATAGAAGGCCATAAAGAAGGTGGTCATCACCGTGAGGACTTTCAGGTCAACCCAATCGATGCTCACCGCAGAGGTCAAGTAGCTCTTCCCTTGGAAGTAACCTCGGAGTTTGCTGTCCAGGAACCGCTCCAGGTTTGGGGGTGCGCCCACTTCGGGACAATGAGGAAAAAGTGAGCTGCAAAGCCAAGTAGCCTGATTGGTAGCCACCCCACGTCATCAAATGGACTCCCAGCATCAACCAGAATTCTGAGCGACGGAGCACTTCAGGTATGATGGAGCCAGACAACTGGACGAGCGAATGCACGGGGCCATGTTGCTCCAACATGGCGGCAGGCAGCGGCGCAGCGGCTGACTTAAGCACCCGCAATATTAATATGTATGCCTTAAACCTCCGGTGGTTGCTTTTCTCAGCCTCTTAGCAGAGAGGCTCAAATGTTAGCCTCTCCATTCAAGAGTTGCCGCTTAGAACAAAAACTGCCTCTCGTGCTTTTCTGGTAGAAGGGAATCTTGTCATTTGTAATGTTTTTGGTGGTCTTCCGCTGCTGCAGCCGACAGCTATCAACATGATATCAACATTATAAAAGACCATCGGTCAAACCCAAGCAAACAGAGTTTCATCATGCTTGCTAGCAACTGCGTCCAAGCCCAAACCAGCCGTTTGAGTTTCATCATCAGGCAAGACGTATATAACTCTCCGAGGTGTTTGGCGTTTGGAGGTCTTTCAAGGCAGAGTTCATAGGAGTAGGCAGTTGCTGGATTTGCAACCTGAGCGCCTGCAACCGGCAGAAAACAAAGCTAACATGTTTAGCCAGGAAATGTTCAGACCAAAACACTGACTAGAGGTGAGTATCAATACCTATAGAAACGAACAGCCCCACCTGCGGTTGTTGCAGCTCTGACATCAGGGTTGCATCGTCACCATCAAGTTTGTCCACATCTTTCTCTTCTTTCACTAACGTCAAACCAGCCATCAGGGTCGAACTCGAAAAGACACGGGATGGAAGCTGATACGCCATTTCCCCTTTCGATTAGAGACGAGCCTGAAAGCGACAACCTGTCGACTTAGTTGAATATTATATGCCAAAAAATCATAACCTGGGAATTCCGCCTCTTACCCGGGAAGTTCCGCCTCTTACCCGGGAAGTTCCGCCTCTCGTTGTTTCACGTGTTTCAATGTTTTTGCATAATATGTTGCATGTTTTTCATGTGCTTTAATGTGTGTTTGCGTGTATTTTGTGTTTTTCATCTGTTTCATGTGTTATCTTTTTCATGTGGCTCTCCTGTGCTTTCATGTTTTTAATGTGGCTTTCATATGTTTCATGTTTTTCATGTATTTCAGTTTTTTCATGTGGTTTTCATGTGTTGCATGTTTTCATGTGTGTTTATCAAATTGCGCGATATCATGTTCATATTTGCAATTTTCCTTGCAAAAAAGACCCCCACAAGTCCGGTTCGACCTGCCTGAAATGCAGGTTTTGAAGGCGAAAGTCGGACTTGTGGGGGTCATTTTTCGCAGGCCAATCCAAGTGGAAAATTAGCAGTTCATATATATATCTATATATAGTTTCATGTTGTGTGCGGTCAATTTTCCACAGTGAGTTATCATGCCTTCATGTGTTTCACGGTTTATCATGCTTGAACCTTTTGAATGCATATAACTTATGTTTTGGTTCATGGTTCGAGGTTTGTGGTGTTTTTCCTATATGATGTTAAGTGTATAAGTTTCATTGTTATCACGGTTATCATAATGTCATATGTTCTATCAACATAACTGGGGAGAAATCTATGTAACACAAGAATCGCCTCTTGCAAAAAAAATTGCCTCTCAGTTCCTAGAGGCGCCTTCTAGGTTGGAGGCGCAAAAAGTGCAGCCCTAGGAAGATTCAGGTGTATGTGTTTGCTGTTGTTGTTGTTGTTTTCAATTGTCAAATGTTTAACATGGCATGACATGGCACATTGCTGTACATGTTATGGGTGAAAGGTTTGACTGGGAGTATTTTTTCGCTTTTTTAAGTCGTGGTCGGAGAGTAGCAGTACCCCCGTCATGTGACTGGCCCATCAATTGCAGCCCATTAAAGTCTTCTGATCAATATATGGAAGCTGGTTATACTGAGTACATGAGGAAGCCTGGCTCAGTGGACCATAAGCAAGAGGTGCAAAATAATGCTATAACAGTAAACAATATATTGTAATAAAGTAATAAGGTATAATAAGTGTCATTCGATTTGGGCGTCCCACATGCAACGTCAATATATTCTGAGGACCTACACTTGATATGAACGCCATATCTCTCTGTGCCCAGAGCAACTGCAGGTCCATGCATCACCATCACCATGCCAGTTTTTCCGGGCAACATGAATCAAAAAGTACCCAAACACTCCATGGGACTGCCATAGGACTGCCGCCCTATTGACCCCCAGTCAACCACCCCTGGCCTGATCGGCATTATATGGCAGTCCCACGGAGTGTCTGGGGTACAAACAACCCATCTAAACGGACAATGCTCGAGGAATTGCAGCAAAACACGAAACTGACTAGTGACTCTAGTGATTGCTCTTGTTTGGGTATATCCCACTACCAGTAAAAACAACATTTCCAAAATAGCTCCGGTTTCTTCAAAGATCTTCAAGGTAACCTTTTTGAAGTCCCATCCAGTGACTCCTTACAGGCCCTTTTGTCAAACTGGAAGATCAGGGTCACTTGAAGGACCAGGTGATCATGTTTTGCTCACGGTTTGGATCCTTTTCCGGGGGCACACCCTAGGCCCTACACACATCTACACTCCTGAAATCTGGAAGTGGACCATTTTGGAACCTTTTCGGTGTTTCTAAACAAACAAATCAGACATTGTCTCCCAAAAACCGCGTTGTTCCATCCTCGGTGGCGGTTTTTCCCTGACAACGGCGCTCGAACATATTCCGCTGACCGTTCCGGTTCGCGCTGGATCCCTTCACCAGGTGACTTCGGGAGCGTCCTCGCTCTCCTCAAGAAAGACATCGACTGACTGAAACCACCCAGTCGTGCACACGAAATGCCGCGCTCCCAAGTCCAAGGCCTGTTTGGGACTGCCATACATGAAGCGCTCGGATCGTTCACATTTTTTTCAATGGCCTTTCAGGCTTCCAGGGAGTGTGCCATAATCTAACGACTCAGAAACACCGTCCCGGCACCAACCCGGTCCTTTTTGCAAAGGGATTGGGTATGGTAATGTAATCTGTCCTGGCTGCTTCCCACAGAAGTTTGGAGCCTTCTTTTGTTACAACCATTCACCGTTGACCTGTGGTAGCTTGATGCCATTCACCCTTGACCTGTGGCAATGGTAATGCAAATGGTGATGATAATGCTAATGGCAATGGCGATGGCAATTCCATTCACAGACCTGTGGGAGCTTGATGCCATGCACCTTGTGCTCTGTGGTAATGAAGATGATAATGGCAATGCTAATGCTCATGACAATGGTCATGGAATGCCATTCACCCTTTGACCTGTGGGAGGTATGCGCCTTGTGACCTGTGGCAGCTTGATTCCATTTACCCTTGACTTTGACCTGTGGTATTGGGAATCCACATGGCAATGCAAATTCTAATGGTGCTGCGTACTGGTAATGGTTATTTACCCTTGGCATGTGGTGATGCTAATGGCAATGGACATACTAATGGCAATGGTGATGGGATGCCATTCACCCTGTGAGCTGTGGGAGCTTGATGCCATTCAAGGAAGCTACTAGGCGCTCAAGGCCGTACTGCTAGGAGCAAGAAGCTATTGGGAACAATCAACCATCAGGCCGGACCGACCGAAGCCTCCCTTCAACCCGCGGTCCTCCGAGCTGCCAGACTTCCCTTCCGCCGCTCCCGTCTCCGCTTCCTGGCGATCGGCACCGGGACGACCCCAAAACGTGGGCCTCCCGCCAAGGCTATAGGTGCTTGGGGAAAAGGCATTGAAAAACAATATGCATGTGTATGATCTGTGCATAGTTACCATAGAGTTAAGTGTGAACTTTCATCAAGCCCTATGAGATCCGTCTATTCGTACCGAACCTGAGGTTCGGCACGACTAGCCGGACCCGACTGGCTGGCACCCACCCCAGCCCCACCGAACCTCAGAGGGTACGACTGGATCCTTGTAAGGGAAAGTGTACCACCAGGTGCACTTCCAATCCTCCCCAGTGAGACTCCCGGCGACCGGTCGACGACGTCTTTCGCGGCGGCTGTGGGTTCTAGCCGGAGGCCCCTTGGGTGGTTACCGAAGGTCACTAAAGAGCGCGCCCCCATGCCGCCGATTCCGGTCGACGTCCCCCCCCAGTCACCCTGACAGCATAGGCCACTGAGCCGGAAAACAGAGGTCAACGTACGCATAGGATGACATAACATGGGCCAACATGTGGCAACATGAATATGGTGATGGGTGCGAGGTGCTTTTGGACGACCCGTGGTGCCAAATATGCTACCAGAGTGGACTGGCATTATTAGCAATTTGTTTTTGCAGCGTGTCTGGCTGTTTTTCTTCTACCGGAGGAGAAAGAGTACGGACTGGACCTGTCCGAAAACTATGTGCTTCACGGTGTTTTCGGTTACAAAGTTTTCGGGGTTGCGGAGAGAAGCGTCTGGATAACCTGTGCGAAAACCATGTGTTTTACAGTGTCTGCGGGCTTGCGCAGAGAGTGTGCGAAAGCCATGTGTTTTACGGTGTATTCGGGGTTGCGGAGAGAGGCGTCTGGGCTGGACATGTCGGAGAGTCAACCTCTACAGGACAGTCCGCTCCTGTTTCCTCCCTATCCCTTCCTCCCTGCCCTGGCCAGCGCCCGGCTGTCAGGCGTAAGCCTTTAAATATATGTTTCCAAGACATTTATATAGAGGAATCTCAAGCTCCAAGCTGACTTCCTCCCAACTGCGGCGTTCATCCTCAGCTGGCTCCGGGTGCGTTTTCCTTTGGCTCCCCAGCACTGGCCTCCTCAGCTGCCTGAGGAGCACAAAGCACTGGCAATATCTCCTGAAGGGTGACCTGGAAGATCTAAAGGAACACCAAAAACACCCACCTTTGCCAACCAAAATCGAACCTGGACATAGATCCAGGATGATCCAGGATGAAATAAAGCTTTCTGGAGGTTCCTCTTCAAGAAAATTCAGTGCTTGGCTCAGCTGGTGAATATGAGTAGCTCATCTGCACGAGCAGGGCCCATCCATCGCCGATCCTACAAACATTGATACAGCAAGATGGCTGTGGGTCAACAACCGGGGGAGCACCCTGGTTGACCCCCCCACAGAGGTGGAACGTGACCTGAACGTTGGGACCCGGAAAACCAGGGGTACCCAACTAGGATAGTCGAACGTTCGGGTTCTGACCCACCTCTGCCGGACTGAAGATGAACAGAACTACTAAGGAGGTCAACTTACCAGGGTGAAACGGTCTAAGGGGTTGGTAGTTCCAAACCTCTTCG